ACAAAAATACTACTTAGTAAGGGTTATAATAAGAAAGAAGTTCGTTTTCATGTATGCACTATTTCGGTTTTTGTCATATGCATTACTTCGGTTTTGAGTCGAAACTGTGCATGTATGCATTACTTCGGTTTTTGTCATATGCACTATTTCGGTTTTGAACCGAAACTGTGCATGTATGCATTACTTCGTTTTTCTCATATGCGTTATTTCGGTTTTCAAACGAAAGTGTGCGTGTATGCATTATTTCGGTGTTTTCATATGCATTATTTCGGTTTTCAACCGAAACTGTGCATATATGCATTATTTCGGTTTTTTTCATATACATTATTTCGGTTTTCAACCGAAACTGTGCATATATGCATTATTTCGGTTTTTTTCGTATGCATTATTTCGGTTTTTTTCATATGCATTATTTCGTATGCACAGTTTCCATATGCACAATTTCAGGGTGCCGTAATTACATTACATTGCACCCATACTTACAATCATGATACAATAACACATGGTTGCAAACTGACACTTAAGATGTGTTGCCATACCGTATAAAACAATACAATAGAAAGAATTCTACGTAGTGAGGGTTATAATCCCTAAATGCGGCCGAAGTCCGCCTACGCTGAAAGGTGTTATCTGCAAAGTGTGTTCAGCCCCCCCTTCTTCGGCACACAGAAAGGAGAATTATACTAAGTGAAAATTCCGAATTAAATCCCCCGCTTTTATTATTCAAAATTTTAGTCTGGCAGCACCAAGTTTTATGTTATTTTGCTATCTTATAAATTTCCCCGAACTTTTCAACTTTAACAACAAATTTGTCGTATACAATGAGTTTCCCCGCCGTCCGGTTTTCAGTTTTGAGATGTGTACAACCACCTTTACTAACCCAACAACGAAATTTAACAAAAGTTTTTGTTTATAACTTTTAAATGGATAATAATATTAGCCCACCCCCTCCGGATTGTTAATAGGGGGACCCAAACGCGTCGTTTGGTACTCCTCCCGACTTTTCCGGACATTTTTTAGTGTTTGTTACACTATACTAGAGAATTACCAAAAGGGGGTATTTTTGGGGTGGGCTTTAGATTGCTAACCCCGGAGTTCAGCATTAAGGAAAATATGGGAGGTAGATGGGGGTTGTTGTTGTTGTTGTAGCGGCTACAACAACCCCGCCCAGATCGGTTGGTATCTCAGTCGTTGTCGTCAAGTTCCACTAACGGCAACCCTAGGAAGCGTGCAGCTTCTGCGGGGTTTGCCCATAAGGACAAGGTCGTTAGGGATGTCGGGTTTGCCGGGCATGCGAAGAGATGTTTCGAGTCATGTGGGGTCTCTCCGCATGCCGGACATTCATTAGGCACATCCTCATTCAGCCTACTCAGGTAGGAGTTTAACCTGCTGCAGTAGCCGGAGCGAAGTTGTGCAAGTGTGGTGCGCGTCTCCCGAGGCAGATGAAGCTCCGTCTCGTCAATGTCCGGGGGTGGTGTGCCTAGAACGGCATTCACAGGTCTAGAGTCTACATAACTCGAGACTGAGTCCCTGTGAATGCCGTTCAAGGCCTGTCTGTAGGCTGTCGGGTCCAGAGGTTGCTTAATGAACCTCTGGAC